TTACAGATCTGAATTCATTTCAGGTCTCTATTACCCAAATAAATATGTTGGTTGGAGTTATATACTTATATGGGTGCATTTTACTTTTGTCTTGCTTCTTTTGTATTAATTTGTCTTGTATTTCTATATCTGTGGCCTCTTATGCATGCATCCATTTTTTTGGGTAAAAGGTAATTTTATAAAGAATAATGAATTACACCTAATAAGGGGAGAACCCCAAGCACTTCAACCTTTGCGACAAGCAAGGCAAAGAAACAAAAAAACACAAAAACCATGACATAAAATCCTATTCACATCAGCCTGCAACCAAAAAAAAAAAAAAAAAAAAACAAGGAAACAGGAAAGCCTACACAGACCAGCCCCAGAGGGGAGAACAAAGAAAAGAGAAGAACCAGCCTTAATTACCCAGGTCAACTGAACTCAGGCGGAAGGCAAGGAGACAAAGGAAGGCCGCAGCTAACAAGGAGACAGGGCCGAATGACCAGCAGCATAGACTAAATCCCAAGATACCATCCAACCAGGACCTCACTAAACAAAAACAACAAAGACGATACCAACCAATCTGTACCATCCAACACAACCAAAGCCCTCCAAACCACCTCACAAACCATCCAATAGAAAAACAAATCACCTACCTGCACATATCATACCAGCAGACAACACAAACCAGATTGGCAGCAATCTGGATTAAGTGCCACATAACAGCCAGCACTCCAAAAGCCCCCCAAATCAAGGCCTCCCTGATGCAAAAGAAAAGCAAAGAAAAACACTGCCAAGCCGAGCCAAGCTACCAGCCCCACCAATCCTCCAAATCTCCAAAACCAACTAAAAAACAGCTCACCCGAAGCTTTCCCAAGGGAGGACACACCCAAAACATAACACACACACACCCCAACGAGGCCCCACCAAGCCCAACCAGAACAAAGAAGCAAACCGCTACAATCTGAATCACTAACCCTCTCTAACATTTTCACCAATGCAGCGCATAGATAATCCCCATTCCTCCAACACTTTTACGGACCTTCAAATTAACCTTAAACCAAAGGCTAAGCATCCTAAGCCTTACATCAGCCATAATTTGAATCTCAACCCACTAGAAGCAATGACTTTTGCCATTAAATAAACGCAAATTCCTCTCCTTCTATATCCAATAGACCCTAGGCATGCATCCATTTCACATGGTCTAAATTTTGACTGTCATTATTTGTTTATTTAATTATTTTTATGTTTGTGAGAACAGAATTGGTAGAGTATGATGCGCATGGATCGACCTCAGTAATTAATTTAATTTAATATTTTATATTCTAAATAACTTTTGATCAGAATAAAACTTTATACACAAACTAATCACTTACTTGGACAAGCAGTTTCAGAGCTTGCTTTCTCAGATCCGCTCTTGTGCTCTCTACGTAGCCTTCAGCAGCCATGTATTTCGTTTCCAGTGTAAGGTTCTTCTCAAACGCTTGTCTCCGTCTTAACTCCGTCAACTCCCTTGCCGCTTCCATTATGAAACACCAAGAAAAAGAAGGTGAACCGGGTGAAGGGAGAAAAATTATTCTTCTTCTTCCCCAGCGATGTCACCCTCGGCGGAACTACAATAATTGAATTCCGGCTTCGCTAAAAGCACCTGGGCTATGCCTCGAACTCTCTTAACTGGTCCAGGGGTTAACTAAGAACTATATCTTCGCCGCATCACGGAAAATTGCAGAGATCTTTGCTGAAGACAGCACGGCAATGCACGATCTTTCAGTATGTCCTTCTGCTGTAGTTCTTTTCCTAGCGGTTACGATGTAGCGAATGGTGTCTCTTAAGAGACTCCCGAGCATAGGATGTGAGTTGTGCTAAGTAAACGAGTTGTTCTACGTAATCGTCTGTTGTATTCCTGTACAATGCACAGCTTTCGTTTTTTTTTTTCCATATTAGTAGCCGGTACAATGCGTGCTTCTTTTATTTCTTTCTTTCTTTGGCCTTTTTTTTTTTCCTTCTGCATACAGATTTAAATGCAACTGACAAACGAAACGTTATTGACATCATCTTCAATTCCATTATGAAACACTAAGGAAAAACAAGGAACAGATGGCAAAACTAAGTAAAACGAAGTTGAAGAGAAATGACTGCGAAATTGGCATGCTTGTTCAAGCTCAGGGCAGCCGTTAATGATATCTGCTCTTACACATAATCTCTTTAAAAGTTCGAATCGGTGTTTACATTCATTTTAAATGTTAAATTAATAAGGTGAAGAAGATAAGGACATTTTAGGAATATAATTTCGTTTAATAAATTTTATTAAAATTGGGGGTTAAGAATGAAAGAGTTTTATTGGGACTAAAATAAAACTACTGAAAATTTAATAGAAATTTGGAACAGGTTAAATAAATTTATGAAAATGAAATTATCCATAAATTAACATCTCTTCAATCAAGAATGTCCCTAAGAAACTATAGACCTGGCAATACACTACCCGTACCCGCGGGTAAACGGGTACCTGTACCCAACGGGCGGGTACGGGTATCCCTCCACATGACCCGTTTCAAATCGACCCATGCCTAGCCTGCCCGTGAAATTTGCGGGTGGGTCGGGTAATACCTGCAATTGAATTTTTAAAAAAAATTCAAATATCCAAAATTCAAATAAAATAACAATACAAAACAAACCCTAAACTCCTAAAGACTAGGGGTGGGATAAATAATCCGAAAACCGAACCAAAAATTAGGTTTTTCTACAAACTGATTCGGTTTTTGGTTTGTGAAATTCTAAAAACCGGTTTGGTTTTTGATTTGAAAAAAAATTACAAACCAGTTAACCGAAAACCGGTTTTATAAAAGCAAAAAAAAATTTTTTACTCCTCACGCAATCATGCTACTCTATCAACATTCGTCTTTCTCCACCTCCATTCTCCAAATCTGAAAAATTTCAAATCTCTACACTTTGTTAATCGTCTGTTCGTCACTTCCAAAGTTCCAGACTCCAGTTCGCCAGCAATTCCAGTCTTCCACACCATGACTCCATCCACAATCCACGCCGTGAGGCGTGAGCTACTCCATCCACATTCCACAGTTCGTCAGTTCCACACCGTGAGCTACTGAGTAGAGCTGACTCCATCCACTTTCCAGTCACTGTGAGCTACTCTGTCCACACCGTGAGCTACATTCGTCATTCGCCAGCACCCAGCACTCCAGCAGACTCCACTCTCCAGTCAGGCAGTCACACCATTGTCCCATCGTGAGCAGATTCTTCTCTTCAAACTCCGATCTTGCGAGCTTCATGTTCACAGTCCACAGATCACTCTCCAGTCAAGCCACCGTGAGCAGACTCCACCATGAGGCTTAAGAAACATATTATGAAATTATATACAAAATAATAAATATTTGAATTTAGGGACTTAAATGAAACATTGAAGAATTTTAAGGATTAAAGGGTAATTTGAAAACCGATTAACCGGTAACCGAACCGAAAATTCGGTTCAGTTTACATTCAGTTTTTAACCGAAACCGGTTCGGTTAACCGGTTTATCCCACCCCTACTAAAGACTAAAGTGAAACTGAAAAGTGAAAATGTAACTCTCACTCTCTCAGACTCACAGTACACACTCATCACTCAACTCTCTTCTCTCACACAGCACGGCAGTAGCAACACGGTCAGTCGCTCACGACTCCCTCAGAGCTGACTGTCACCGAAGAACTCAACTCTCTTCTCTCTCAGACTCACAATACACACTCATCACTCAACTCTCTTCTCTCACGCAGCATGGTAGCAGCAGCACACTCAGTCGCTCACAACTCCCTCAGAGTTGACTATCATCGACGAACTCAACTCTTTTCTCTTACGCAACAGCAGGTCAACAGCACGTTCACGGCTCCCTCACAGCTCACTCACGCAGAACGCAACCACAGTCAAATCAGAGCTCATTGTCACTGACGAACGGTAGATTCCAAACCCAGGCCATGGCTGACGAAATAGCAGCAGTTGCATCTTTCCTCTCACTGTCATTCTGCTTCGACAACTCTCAGATCAGTCTCAACTCTGTCATGCCGATGAACGTCAACTTTTTCTCTCCTCTGGCTCTCATTCTCTCTCACTCCGACGTCGCCTTACTCCCAGCAGCAACCGTCATTGTCAGAGGTAAACACTTTCACCATGTTGGCAAATGCTTTGGGCAAACAAGACAATACATTTTAACTACCATCATTTGCATCGTGAGAATTGGGTTTTGATGCATTATTTACATTGTGACTTTTGAGTTTTGACTGCTTCATTAATTAAAGTAGTTGACACTTCTCTATTAGTTTACTCAATTTGAAAGGTCATTAATAATGTTGATATTAAATATATTGAAAGCTCATCCTATAGAATGAAACATGTTCTATATGCTATTCTTATTTAAATATATAATCGAGAGCAAATTTGTTACAAAAAACAAATTGGTTACAAAATTTGAAATTCACCCCCCTTCTTGTGAGCATTGAGTTTTTTATATGATTTTGAATTTCTATTAATGTTAGAATCATTATTTGCATTATGATTTGTGAGCATTGAGTTATTGGAGTTGAGGAGTGTTGACTGTTGAGTTGGAAAAATCTAGCCATTTGGTAGGGCTGGTTTGCTTGTAAAATATATGGAAGTGTTTTTTTTTTTTTTTTTGGATGAATTGTTATGATTGGTTAATTAATTTAAATGTAAATACTTTGTTGTGTCCTTTAGATTGGCTTGGTATGGAGAAGTCTACATATTTGTTTAATAAGGCAATAGAAATGGGTCGTAATATAGTCGTAGCTCAACCTCCTTCTAGTGGTAGTACTATTTGTCCAAAAAGACGTAAAATTTCAGATGTTTGGGGTCAATTTACAACATATATGGAAGACAATGGGGATGTGAGGGCAACGTTTTTTATTTTTAGTTAGTCTTATGCATATGGTAGTTCCACTCATGGGACTAAGAATTTGAGGTGCCATATGGAAGGTTGTCCTAAACGTACCATTAGTAGTGTAGATCAAATGATGATGGATTGTGATACTAAATTGAGACATTTAAGGATTTCTCAAGAAATTTATCGTGAGAAGATGGCAATAGGAATCATAAAACACAATTACCCATATTCAATAGTAGAGCATGAAGGAATTAGGGATGTCCACATATATTTGAATCATGAAGTTAAGCCTTATACTAGTAACACCGCTAAGGCGGATTGCTTAAAGATATATTATAGGGAGAAGGAAAAGATTAAGCTTGCTTTAGAGAGGGTTTCGGATAGAATATGCTTGACTTTTGATATTTGGAGTTCTTGTACTACTGATGGATACATTTCTTTAACGACTCACTATGTTGATGAGAATTGGGAGTTACAAAGTAGAATTCTTAATTTTTGTCATATTCCTCCTTCACACTCGAGAGCTCTTTTGTTAGAAATAGTGTATGATTTCTTAAAAGATTGGGGGATTGAAAAGAAAGTCTTCTCTCTTACATTAGACAATGCAAGTAATAATGATAAAATGGAAGACATTTGAAGGAGTCAACTTTGTGTGCAAAATACTTTATTATATGGTGGCTCTTTTTTTCATGTGTGATGTTGTGCATATATCTTGAATCTCATAGTCCAAGAAGGGTTAAAGGTTAGTAGCATAGCTTTACATAAAATTCATGAAAGTGTGAAATATGTTAAAGGAAGTGAGGCTAAAAGAATCAAGTTTGGAGAACTTGTTAAAAAAATTGGTGTGGCAAGCTCAAAAGGATTACGAATGGATGTTCCCACAAGATGGAATTCCACTTACTTAATGCTTGAAAGTGCGTTAATATACTGTCGTGTGTTTGTTCATTTTTCACTGATAGATCCCAATTAAAAAAGTTGGCCTTCAAATGAAGAATGGGATAGGGGGTGAGGATTTGCAAGTTCTTGCAACCATTTTATGACATCACTACTCTTTTTTTGGGTTCCCAATACCCCACAGGAAACTTGTACCTCAGGAATGTGTGGAGAGTTCAAGTGCGCTTATACGAAGAGATGGAAAATGAGGATGAAGTTCTTAGTACCATGGCAAGTCAAATGAAAGAAAAGTTTGACAAATATTGGGACTCTTATAGTGTTATGTTAGCAATTGCAGCAATTCTGGACCCACATTTCAAGTTTGAGTTTGTTGAGTTTTGTTACAAAAAAGTTGATGGCCCAATAGTATCAAGAAAGTTGGAGTTGGTCAAGCAAGAGTTGTATAAGCTTTTTGCTGTTTACGAGGGTCTAAGTTGCAATGAGGTTCCTGTCGATCCTTGGGTATAGACTAGTAGTCCTAATATCATTGGAGATGATATTTTGTAAGTCACTACTCCCTAAATATTTTTACATTCTTGTGATTAATAAGGTTTTGTTTATTTTGTAATTTTGCTTTATTAAATTTAAATATTTAAATGGTGCAGGAATTTGACTACTACAAGAGTGACTTTAGTGCTACTAAGAAATCCGAATTGGATACTTATTTGGGAGAGGCAAGGTTTGATCGCATCAAATTTTGCAATCTAGATATCCTGGACCATTGGAAGAAAAACAGTGATCGATACCAGTAAATATCAAAGTTCACTTTTACCGGAGAATGCATAGTCTTTGATATGCACCAGGACATGGATTTTTGGATATGAAGTTAAAGGTAACATTTTAACTTATATTTCACATGTTTTAATACTTTAGTTTGTTAATATATTACGATAGTTAACTTATATTTTGTTAATTGTAGAAGATGAAATTGATGATGCTCAGCTTGTTGTGCCATTAAGCCAAGTGCCAGCGGAGAAGGAGATTACAGAATCAGGGGCGGCTTCTAACGCCGTTAATGTGTAATAGACTTTGTTTGTTTAGTATGTTTGGTTGAACAATTCTATATGTTTAATTGTTTAGTGTTTAGTGTTTACTATGTATGTATGCTGAATGTTGAACAATTTTATATGCCTAGTGTTTACTAATTAGTAATTACTATGTATGTTTAGTGTTTAGTGTTTACTAATTCTATATGGTGAAGTTTGATATAAATATGAAAAATATTAATATTGAATTAATGTTGTTTGGTGAAATCTAATCAAATTTAATTTAATCATCCATTTATTTAATATAATTAACCAAGTTATTCGAGCTTAATAAATAAATTTTATATCAAGTTTTTAAATCAATACAATTTACATCTTTAAGTATGCAATTTGAATAACAAAAAATAGTGAAAAAATAACAAAAACTTGGAAATTTTTTTTTACAGAAAATGCCATTTTCCACAGGTCACATGCCGGTTGACTTGTACACACATGGGCAGGTACGGTTCATGCATACACCAACCCGTAGGAAAAATCTACCCATGAACTTGTGTTCGTTTTACCCGCATCCCGCTGATACTAGGCCTGTACTCGCCCAACCCGCCCGTTTGCCAGTTTAAGAAACTAAAGTTCCCATAAATGCGGGTACAGAAGTGAGAAGTCAAACTTCTCTGCCAAAAGAAACAAAAGAAATATTGCATTTGATTCTTTGTCCACAGATTTGATTCTGTGTGTGCAGATTCTTCCCTATAACTTAACTTTCATAGAGAATTGCTCCTCTACCACTTGAAAATTCATTAATCTTTACAGGAGGAAAATGACATTTACCCAGTTCGGCGAATATGCAAGTTCTCAGTTTCATAAATTCCTGATTCTCACTTTTAAATTAACGTAAGATTGTTTAATTTAATGATTAAAGGGTAAAATAGTCATCACAACAGCCGACCCATCCATCTCTCTCCCGGATTTCTGCTGAAATTTTGCCAAATTTTCACCAATATAGGCAGAAATCATCTCCTCGTCACGATTGCATCTTTCCCAAGCCTGATTGGTTTGTTTTCAGGTTGATCCTGCACTATTTTTGCATTTGTTTGTGCGACCCCTAGCCTTGCTCAATCAATTATTCTCAGGCCTAATCTGGATGGTTTCTAGTGTCGATTAAACCACTCGACTCCATCATCATCTTCCTTTCACCATCCTCTTCAAAACCCCCACTAGCACTGCCACTAACAACTGTCGTTTCCACCTTTCCCGACTGCATCTCTCCATCGTAATGCACGCTTGAGTTTGATGTGTTTGCACTGATTCTATCATCCACCGCCACCATCAAGCTTCTCTTTTCTCTCTTAACACACCCTTATCATCTCAGGTTGCACCGGTCGCCGTTTCCTACTCGTGATCCTTATTCATTTGCCAAAATTTGTGAGTGCGTGGTGGGTTTGGTTGGTGGTTTGTGGCTAAATTTGTGAGTAATTTAGTAGTGGTTTGTGGTGGTTTTTTTGTGGCGGCGGGGCTGACTTTGGGGTATAGAGGGATAGCAGTGGTGGTGGATGGGTGGAATCGTGGTAAGTGGTGGTGCTGGTGGGATCGATTTGTGGTTGTTTTTGGGTGGGTTTGTGGCTGAGTTTGTGAGTGATTTGGTGGTGGTTGTTTGGTGGCGGTGGGGCTAACTTTGGGGTTTAGAGGGATTGCGATGGTGGTGGATGGGTGGAATAGAGGTGGTGGGCTCGATTTTTGGTTGTTTTTGGTCGGTGATAAGAGTGTAATTACATATTTTTTATTCCTATCATATTATGTTTTTGTTATGTTTTATGCCTAATTGAGTTGATTAGAGTTTATTTTGTAAGTTTGGCATATTTGGATAGACTTTAGGAAATAATTGAGAAAAGATTAGGAAATTCCAGATTTTCCAGATTTTTCGTTATTCTGACCAGTGCTACGTTTTTCAGGTTTTTCAGGGAGCTAGATTCCTCAATTGCAAAAGTGGTCTTCAGAGAAATTAAAGTAGACGAATCAAGCTTTTCAGGAAGGTATTATGGGCAAGAATCCGAGTTCGTTTGGGTTCTCAGTAGTTGTTGCAAAACCGGACCTGGAATCCTAGTCGCAGAAGGATTCCTTAGCTGAGCAGTGAATCTTCGAACGGGCCTAACTGGAGCGTCAGATATCGAAAACGGGTGATTCAAAAGCCCAGATTCATCTACACATCCTAGACTACAATTTTTATGAAGTGATGGAGCCCAGAAAAGATCTTTTACATGGCGAGAATCCTGGTGCAAGTTGGAGACGAATTCTGGAATCCATATCTGATCAGATTTTATCAAATCTGGAAGTCTATCTTCTAGGAAACGTCCAGGAAAGAAATTCCGTGATTCTTGGGGAAGAATTAAGGAAAACACATGTTATTTAATTAGAAGTTTTTAGGTTAAACGGGGGGAGGACAGTAGAGTTTTAATTTTGGAGAGTTTTTGCGTTCTAGATCAAGATGTGCGGCTAATTTCCTTCTTCAGTTCAAGGGGATTTTGAAGCCTAATTTCATGTCATTGGTGTAACCTAACCTCAGTAACATTGTTCTTAATCTCGTTTTTATTGGAATTGTTTATGTTATTCTGTTTTAATTGTTTGTTTGTTTGAGTGATTTAGTTTTGGCCTGCTAAATTGTTTAATCAGAATTTACCTGTTAGAATTAGGAATTGTGATCCGTAATTGTCCTTTTTCTATTCAACGAGTGACACATGATGATAGCTGATTATGGACAAGTTTTCGGTCTATTGTCTTGAATAACATAACCTAAGTTAAATAATCCGAGCTTGCGTGATTGTTGCTTAGATTGATCTATTCTCCTAATTCTTAAGGCTGCCATTGAATTAAATTTAGAGAGCTTGTTCTAGGTTGTTCAAGGGTTAGTATCTACTCGAAGAGCTTGTTTCGGTAGTGACAAACTAAGGGAGAATTCGGGTAACAGAGCTTGTTGTTTCCTAGGGTCAGTAGTTTCATAATGATGAGATAGAACAGTGTTACGGTTACTTTATGTCCAATGCATGTTTAGGTGGATTTTGAACCGAGAGCTGATTGTTTAACCTGATATTTTATTTCTCTGTTCTACTTTAGTTTGCTTTGATTACAAATCCCCCTTCATTACTGTTGTCAAGTTTACTGTTTAGAGTTTAATTTGCGTTTCTGTTGTTTTTAGTGTTTTAGAATATAGAAATTAATCGAGTCATTCCCTGTGGGATCGACCCTTGCTTGCCCTTTATACAATTCATTAGTTCGGTCAGTAAGGTTAATTAATTTGGTGCATTCGGCACACTACCAGTCGGGTTTGTGGCTGAGTTCGTGAGTAATTTGGTGGTGGTTATTTGGTGGCGGTGGGACTAACTTTGGGGTTTAGAGGGATTGCAATGGTGGTGGTTGCTTTGGGGCTTCGGTCGTCATGGTGTTGAAAGGTGCTGGTGGGTGGTGGTGGTGACTGAATGGTGATAAAGATGGTGGCTAGGTGGCGGTGTAATAAAAGAAGGGTAGTATGGTAATAGCACCTTTCACAAGTGCATCAGAAGTAGACTTGGCAAACAGGCGGGTCGGGCGGGAACGGACCGGGTATCAATAGGTTGCAGGTGAAACGGGCACGGGTAGATTTTTCCTACGAGTCGGTGTATGCATGACCCATACCCACACATGTGGGTATGGGTCAACCTGTGGGTCACCCGCAGAAAATGGCATTTTCTGTAAAAAAATTTTTTCCAAGGTTTTGTTATTTTGTCACTGTTTTTTGTTATTCAAATTGCATGCTTGAAGATGTAAATTGTATTGATTTAAAAACTTGATATAAAATTCATTTATTAAGCTTGAATAACTTAATTAATTATATTAAATAAATGGATGATTAAATTAAATTTGATTAGATTTCACCAAACATCATTAATTCAAGATTAATATTTTTCATATCTATATCAAACTTCACCATATAGAATTAATAAACACTAAACATAGTGTAATGCCCCACATGAGGTACGTAGTTATTGTTTCCTCTTTCGCTCTTATTTGAGTTGGTTTTGGTAATATTGTTTGATTGAGTGTTGTGTTGAATGCTTGCCCTGAAATTGGTTGTAAATAGAAGAAGTTCAGTGTACCAAGCTTCGCCGGGGCGAAGAAGAATCTTCGCCACGGCGAAAATGTATTGAAACCACGGGGAAACTCTCTGGGCAGTTTCGCCGCGGCGACAGAAGCTTCTTCGCCGCGGCAACAGGCCGATTAAAATGTTTGTTAAGTTTTAGATATCTTCTTCCCTAAGGGCAATTGGACCATTCTACCCCTAATTAGCAGGAAAAGTGGGGAGTTAATTGTAAGGATTTTTCATGGAGAATAAGTTGTTATGGGGGTGTGCTTGTAATGAATCAAAGGATATAGATGGAATTCCCAAAGAAGAATAAGGGCAAAATGGGAATGCTTTGGTATAAATTTCATTAAAAGGAATTAAGAGTTAGCAAACCTCTCATTATTCTTCTAAAAAACGCAACTCTCCATTCTTGTTCCTCCCAACTTCTCTTTCTTTTGATCAAGGAGTTCCAAGGGGTTTTTGAAGTGATTTGGGGTAGAAAATCAACATAAGGCTTCCTAAGGTAAGGATTCTTACTTTAGTTGTGAAACTTGTGAGTTTTAGTTTATATTGAAGTTTGAGGGTTTTTGTTCTTTTGGTTAAGAGTAGAGAAAAAGTCAAGCAAACCAAGTGAAAGGAAGAGTTGGTGAAGTCTCTCCATAACAAGGTAAGTAAATCCCAACCCAAGTTGAGATTTAAGAATTTTCTTGATTAGGGTTTTGATAGAAATGATGTATGTATGTGATATACATGTGATATGCCATGTATGGAGGCTTAAATAGAGATTTCTATGCCTTGTGATTGTTTATACCTTTCAAATATAAGAAATGAGTTGTGGGTTGGAAAGGTAGTTTGAGATGGAATTGAAGGGGTATTGTGGATCCCTTTTTGGAAGTGTTTTTATTTGACAGGTTTTGTGGTTATGTGAAGGGGTTTCTCCCCAT